TATTTGATCGACAATTTCGTCCTCAGTTAAGTATTCTTCAGGGATGAGGCCTATAATTTGGTTTTGGAAACCAAATGTATAGTACTCAGCATCCAATGCTAGACCTAATGATGTTCCTTTTGGTAAAGTAACACTATTGGGTGTAACATTGTTGACCATTATATATGTGGTATTCTTACCAATACTTACCATTGGTGTATGTGTTACCACCATCCCTAATTGTTGTATCCTGTTGGATAAACAGATTAGGGCATCAGAGTTTTCCAATCTCTGACCCTCCTTGACCTGTAGGGGTAAAAGAAAATTACTTGCCCCCTGTGGAATGGTTATGTCATCAGGAACTTGGATACTTACCGCATATGGGAGTATTTGTCCTGATTTCAGGGCGTTTTCCTCGTGTAGGTATCCACAAGGATTACCTTTTAACCTTGTCCACAAGTTGGAATTAATCAGGTCAAGGTGTATGGCAAAGCGATGTATGACATCATTGCCAACGTAAACCTGATAGCGAGGTTCGTTTATCACTAGGAATAAATGTTTAACGGTCTTATTTCCGATGGAAATAGATAGTAAACATTTTGCTATCACATTGTGACTCTCTGATTCGCCATCCAGGTTCTGGATCCACCTGTCATGTGGGGAAGCGTACCTGATCATTTTAGGATTAGCTATCTGCTTTAACAGACTTCTGCTAATATAGCTGTTCTCACTCTGTAAGTCCAGCTTTGCATTCCTACTTCTTCCTAAGTCATGTATTTGCATAGGAAAGAATAAGTTGTTATTAACCCTTTCAATTCTGGCAAGGAATTGAGCATGACCTGCCAGATCTACAGATTCAACATAGTCCCTGTGGAGAGAAATGGTTAAAACATCACCTTCCAGAGAGACATTCTGGATCCTCTCTGGAGCAATTCTTATGGAATGCTCATCTACAGGTGCGATTGCATCATTCACCTGCAGGATAGTCACGTCAGGTGACTGACTATTCTAAAATGTACCTCAATCGAGTCAGGTCTTTCTTCTATCACATGGCAGTTACGATCAGATTGTACATGTGATTTCTCATAGGTTATGGGAACCTTAGCTTGTGACCATACAATTCCATTCACACAGTCAATAATTGTGTTAAGTCTTCTGAGTATGTCTATACCCAGAATCAGTCGGTCATAGGGGAGATCTACCACTATCACCGGGTGTCTAAAGGTTTTGTTACCTATTTTAAACTTTAACCATGTATTGCCAATAACATGAAGGGCATTTCCTCCTACACTCAACAGAGCATTGGGGAAATCTCTTAGCTTCGGCTTATCCGTTGCTAAGTCCATTACCTGCTGGAAGTAGGTACTGGATAAGATAGTGGCTTGTGAACCAGTATCTATTAACCCTTTAAAAGGCTGGGGTAACGAATCCTGTATTTCTACAGACATGTAGTACCTTCCTTCATGTTCTTCTAATTCACATAAGAATTTAGAATGTGTCAACATATTACTTGTTTTCCATACATTACCGGTCACAGCAGTAGTTTCTACCTGTACTGAGGAATGCTCAGTCTTACCCACAGGCCCATCCTTTTTAGGAATATCTTGAACTGTCAAGCGGGAACTAGTGGTCGGCATCTCATCAGTTAACCCTTTCAGGTCTGGATCCTGGAAACTAGTGGTTGCTGGGGCTACTTTAGCCTTTGGCTGAAATGAAAAAACAGAGGAACACGTTGCGCCTCCTTCACCCGGAAGTGAAGTGACGGTATAGGCAATAGGTTTTCTAACACAACTATTATTTGTTTGACTATGAGTACCTGGAAAGGAAACAGGGTTAGGCATTACATCTACTGATAACCTAGCCTGTTTAGTCACAGTGGCTATTATTGCTGCGGCACCTGCTGTTGAGGCTGCGGTTGCACAGGTAGTTCTGCAATTGGAGCTATCCCTAAAAAAGGATTTAGAGCAAAGACTTGGTTGATCTTTGTCATTTCCTCCATTAATTTGCCCATCTGGTCTGTCAATTGACCAACCTGACGACGTAAATTATTTCCCCCATTGCCGTTTTGTCTTTGCCCATTAGAATTTGGCTGGGATGGCTGAGACTGTTGGGAGTTATTGGAAGCAGATTGGTTGTTTCTGTTTCCATATCTCCTATTTCCCTGAGGGTTCCTTCTCCATTGGGAATTGCCTTGGTTTTTATTAACCCAAGGGCGTTTATTCCCATTGGCATTGGATTTTTCAGAGTTATTAGAGGAATTTGCAGAATTGCTTCTGGCGTTTTCCTGTTTCTGAGGTTTTGGAGATTTCAAAACCTCGGAATAGGTCCTCTTTTTCTGTTGGGTTTCTAAACCTAACTGAATTTTAGTCTCTGACACCATTTTATCACCAGGTTTCTTAACCTTTGGCTGATTTTCGTCATGTGCATGGTGTATAGTATACAATTTCATACACTGACTGACTAGCCATTCTAATGGTAACTTACAATCGTAATCTCTTGCGAGATTCATTTGTATGTTTACCGGCATGGCATGAAAATACAGATCTTTGAAGTCTGTGCTTTCATACCTGGGTTTTCTTTGGGCCACAGAGTATGCATTTTTAAGAATTATTAAAAATTCT